GAAATGTTACAGTTGTCCTTATTCCAAATACCTGAAATGCCTCACATATTATCCCCAAGGACCTTAGGCCCATCACCTTCCTTTCTTACACCATAGATAGTCGTCTATTTTCTGATGACCAACATGCGTACTGTAAAGGTAAATCTCCGTACTTGTAAAAGGGCCATAGGCAAGAGATGGGGCCTCAGTGTCCGGATTTGTCGATGGATATTCATAGCAGTCGTTAGACCAATCCTCCTGTATTGAGCGATCGTTTGGTGGCCTGCATTAGATAAAGCGGTCAACCTCAAGCTTATCATCAAGGTGCAAAAGTCTAGTATGATCTGCATAAGTGGAGCGCTCGGAACCATGCCAAATGATGCTCTGAACGCTATTTTATATTTTCTGCCACTGAATTTGCTAGGAAAGCAGATGGCAGCGCTCGCTGCTTTTCGCTTTAGAGAGGCATCCTAATGGCAGCCTGAAGCCCAAGGAAACTCTTGTATTTCAAATAAACTCTGCTTTATTCCGAACAGCAGAGACCGCTTCGCTTCGATATCGGCTCCGGAAAGCAACTTTAGCTCAATAATTCCCAGCAGGGTGGAGTGGAAGGAAGGTTTTAACACTCCCACCCCCCTATTTTTTAAATTAATTAGAGGTATGCACTGCGACCAAATGATCTATTGTGCCCCTCCCACCCCCTTAGTATTGACATTCTAAATAGTTGGCTCGGGACTCGACAGTAAGGCAGGAGGAGGCGTTTTCTCCTGAAACCCTCCTCTAAAAATCTTTTTTCACTTACCAGACTACTGCAGGGTATTTCAAGCCGAAATTCGTATGGAATCTTCTGAAAATCTTGGATCCGAAATGATGGGAAGGGGCGTCTTCATTTTTAGTGATAGCCAGGCTGGAATCAAATATCGGAGCTCTTGCATTGGACTGCCGCCTATCCCTACAGCAGATGGCCAACAGATATAGGGACCTAGAGTGTAAGTGCATCGGGGATGAACTTGCAAGGCAAGGCACAACCAAGCACGTTCCTCCTGGTATAGAACGCATTGGTATACTTTTTGCCACTTGCAAGCTGCCACTTAGTGACTTTGTATACAAATAACCTGAAGAAAGATGGAGTCAAAGTACGACTTGTCAGATTTCCAGGCAGACTTGGCCTAAATTGTGCCGGAAACGGTCACGAAGGGTTTGCCCTCTTATAAGAGAGGATATATCTAACGTTGTGGTGCGGGGCTCCAATCGGGCACCGTCTAATAGGTAAGCATGCAGAAAGGCTTGGTGTCCCTTTATGTAGATTTGTGGTTCAACAGAGAGGATAATTGAACGGTGTTAAACTGTTGTAACACAATGGGGCTTCTATCTAGGGCCCAAATGTGCCACTAAGGCGAAAGCCACTTCTACCTACCTACACAAATACCCTTAAAACAATTTCGGTAACACCCAAATTCATATAAAAATAAAGAAGACGTTGAATACTTTATAAACCGAAAAATGTTATGGAAATCTTACCTTATAAAGCTCTTTAAATGTATTTTATTTTTCATGAATAAGGCCATAAGAGATTTGGATGTACATTAGGGCGATTTTTGTTTTTTGCGACTATTGTTTTTTTCACTCCTACCTCAAAATTTTGCGGAAAACAGCTCCCTGAAAATTTTAACCCATAATATTAACATTAAGTACTCGCCCAAGGCGTGCAAAGATTTCCCATTAAAAATACACGTAAACTTTGAGTTTTTTTCTTAAAAAGTCTACAGCTCAGAGACATTTTATGTTATAATATTGGTCAATGATGGGTTTTCTTCAGAATTGAATGCTCTACAAAAGTGTCCATTGCGGTTTAATCCTAACTCCCACCAACGAGGTAATACGGGTCACTAAATCCAATTTTTTCATAAAATTCTCGTTTTTTTGCCACTATCCCGAAAATAACAAGAGCTACAGAAAAAATATAAATGACAAACTTGTAGGACTTTCAATTTCCTACAAAAAAAGTTTCAGAACACAAAATCGCTAAAATCGATATTTCTTGAGATATTGGACTTTGAAGTTGATCGACAATTTCTACAATTAAGCTTAATTGTCCACGAAAATTCCATACTACCTCAAATTCAGCAAAGCGGCTTTTGGATAGGTAGCAACCTTTCGAAAAAAAATTGCCTAGTAAAGCTTCAAACACTTTTCGTTTAATTTCAATATTTTGAATTTTTACTAGGTACATATTTAGGTAGGTGACAGCTCAATTAAAAATATTTCTAGTTCGAAGATTTCTCAAATAAATTTCAGCTGATGGCCATACTTTTATTATTACTCAAACTAGTGGCAACCGTTAAATTTTTTTTTTTTTTTTAATCTAAGAAGGAATTCATATTAAATATTCTTCCGAAGGTTATTTTGTCAAACTTCTAGGAAGGTTCTCAAGCTTGGAGACTATCTCAAAAGGCATCACATAATAAATATTTATTTATAAATTAAGACTTGGCATAAACCCAATTATAAAATTTACTGCAAAACTTCAAAAAATAAAATAAAATATCTTATCCTAAATAAATAGTAGCTGTATAATGAATGTAGTTTAATCGATATACTAATGAAATCTATTTCATTTTACTTTCATTCTTTTAAAATTTCTGCTATCCTACGATAACAACAACACCAACATCTACCAACGAAACAACCATGAATGCTGCTGGTCTATATTAATTGTCAATTACTGACAACGAATAATAAAAAATATAAAACAACCAAAAAAACGCGACTATTGCAATTACGACAACAATGAATATAATAATAACAATAACAAAATTAATAATGGCATCAACACTCATTGTGGCAACGAATACATACCGACAACAATTCTGAAAACTAACTAACGAATTACAACACTTTTATGACGTACGAACCATAACAATTACGTTGGTAATGACGATGGTGATTCCGACGATGACAATGCTGGTGCTATTGTGATGATGACGTGGTAATGGCAATGGTGTTGATGCGTAAACGCGACGACGATGAATGTTTCTTATGTGGTGGGAATAATGCTGCGAAAATTATCTGCCTGCGAAAAATTAAAACTTAATACTCATAACAACAAAAAAATACCAATATTAAAAAATTCATGAAAATTAATTTCAATAAAAAAAAATTTCAAAACGAAATAAAATAAACAAAAATCAAATAAAATAAAAAATAAAATAAAAAATAAAATAAAATAAAATAAAATAAAATAAAATAAAATAAAATAAAATAAAATAAAATAAAATAAAATAAAATAAAATAAAATAAAATAAAATAAAATAAAATAAAATAAAATAAATTAAAATTAAACTAAATTCAACAAAATAAACAAAAACAAATACATCGACAACAAACTAACAACAACAACGATAAAATGCTAACTAAATCAAAAATGACAAACAACAACAATAAAAACTGCGAAATAAAACCCTGATTTAAATAATTAATACACAAATATGAACTATTAAAAAATAAACTATTTGAACCAAATATAAAAAATTATAACCAAACAACAATATGAAAACAAAACAACAACTAATCTTAAATAACTAAAAAACTTAAACAACGAAAACAAATACAACTACCACAAAACAAAACGGCAACCAATAACCAAACTATAAAAACACAACAACTTAACCCACTATGAAAACAAATAAATTATATATTGTATTTAATAAAACGTCATGTTAAATAAATCAATAACATAACTGAAATTTTTGTAAAAAAAAAATGTCAAAATTCTTAAAATACACTAAATTCTTTTTTAAAATCCCGATGTTTTTTTTTATTAAAAATCTTCAATTATTTGTGCGAATAATAACAAAAAACCTCCAACGAACGAAACAAAAACAAAAAAAAAACATTCATAAATATCTCTAACAACACATTTTTGTATACAACTACGACACATATTTCGATCAAAATCCACCCTAAAAATTATGTGAAAAATCAAACATTACCTTGAACAACCATAATGTATGTATGTGTATATACAACAAAAAACAAAAAAAAAAACAACCACAACACCAACAACATGATAATCACGCTGAAATCGACGCCACAACAACGATTGCCGCCACATCTCACCGCCCTGCCCCTACTAATTATGTAATGTTTGTGCCTCGAACCCCATGCCACAATTCCGCGCGTTGATGGTTATCGCAACAATCGCTTTGCCAAAAATAATCAACACAAAAATTTGATAAAAAAAAATATATACACCGCGTGTTGGTCAACATGCAATAACAACATTACCCACCGATACTAAACAATTTCGTTATGCTCGCTATTGCTAAAAAACAAATACTAAAATTCTCAAATTGAAAAAAAAAAAATTATAAAAATCGCCCCAATTTTTATGCGCCACAAACTATGCAACGTAATGGGGTAAATGTTGCAACAAATTTTGTGATTCACTCGACTTGTCGAATGCACACTCATTGAAATGAATTACACATGCAAACATAAAAACTGTACAAAATCGTTACAAAATATCCGTCGCTGCTGTGCTGCAATCTATTTACATATTTTTTTCCCCTATATAACTACTTGTGCACTTTTCGACATTTGAATAACGGCAACAACTTATGCAACTAAAATTTGTAAATGTAAAAAAAAAATGTGTACACAAATGTGAAACACCTGCCGCGTTGTGCTATCATCTACGAACATACGCGCACACACACACCATTACGCATGTATACGTGCGCAAAATAAAATAACAACCGTCAACAACGTAACCATAACAAACCTTCAACTCACTGCAATCGCCCGCCAACCGGAACTCAACTGCACTTCCATGCATCCACCACTTATCTATGTACTGCGCCTCATCTTTATGCTTCATTGTCTCTATGCTGGCTGCATTACTGTGTCTATGGATATGTTCACGCTTGCCGCCACTCAATGTTCCTGTTCAACATTTTTGGTGCACACTACACACACTCCAATCGACATTCTTCGTTCTGCAACCTCATACGCGCATACAGTCCCGCCGGATATCCTCGATTATCCCACCAGCACGGATATGGTTGTACGCGAGGGTAGTAATGTGACGCTCAAATGCGCGGCTACCGGCTCACCAGAGCCAACAATTACATGGCGGCGCGAAAATGGAGTAGCCATTGAATTGGCCAACGGTACAGAGGGTAAGTACCACCATCCACCATATACATACATACATATACGTATGCTTAGCAACTCACTTCTACATGTGTGCAAATCAACTCATACGCTTGCACATATCGAGTTTGGCAAGTTTTGGAAGCGAATGAGTGGCTTCATCGCTGAGTGGATAGGTAGCTTTTTTNGTACGTATGCTTACCAACTCACTTCTACATGTGTGCAAATCAACTCATACGCTTGCACATATCGAGTTTGGCCAGTTTTGGAAGCGAATGAGTGGCTTCATCGCTGAGTGGATAGGTAGCTTTTTTTCGCTCTAAAGCTGTAAGTTTCATGCGGTCTGGATTGCCCACGTGTAGACGAATGCAGTACAGTTTATTTTATTTGAATATAGGGTGTGACCATTTGTGTATAAAAAAATACCGTCATGTATTATGTAATGTTACAAATGGGTTAAACTATTAAACATCATTTTTATTTTTTTTTTCATAGCTGCCCTCTTAACAGATCTCACAGTGGCGCAGTGTTTCGACTATGTTGAGGCAGGTGGACAAAAGTCATGGTGACAGGTGCTAAAACAAAACCTATTGGTCTTCCAAAGGGAATAGTGAAAGTCATAAATACAAAATTTCACATCATTCACTCAACCCCTCCCCCCTCTAGGAACGGTACATTTCAGCTTTTAGCTACCCAAAATTTTAAACTACCTTGCCAACTGAAAAGATAACTAGTAAGACACCCTTCAAACCTTTTTCATGATTTAATTTGGCACAGGGAAAGATTGCTAAAACTTCAGTCTATAGCACCGAAGCCAGCTGACCGGAGAAATTTCCAGTTTGTTGCCAGTCACTTCCCCGTTTCGTCTCTCGCAAGAGAGAGTTTATGTTTCAAGGGAGTGGCGAGAGCATGCCTTCCTGCGGTGTGCTCCTTGTCACATATCTTGAAGCCGAGTTATCACCGACGTTTTCCGTGATCACCCAGCACTAGAGCATTTGCCTTATAAACTCCATCAGAGAATTGTACACCTCCAGTCCCCACAAGGCCTATATTATAGCCCCCGAATTTATATTATTAAAAGCTCCCTAAATGTCAAGAAAGGCTACAAGACAATATTTTTTGTAACTGAAGGACTTTTAAATAAAACTGACTAGGCCATGCAGCGCGGTTTCCGTGTACTTGGCCTCCAGATAAGCATATTGCTTGTTAGACAGTATTCAACTATCAATAGTTGAAGATAGGTAGTTACTAACCATCCTTTCTAGGGTTTTAAGCACAAAGCAAGAAAGGCTAATAGGTCTAAGGTGCTTTGGATTTGTACGTGAAGTCTTAACGTATTTAGGAATAAAGACAGCTGAGATAGATCTCCACGCTGTCGGTATGTAATCTAGCTTAAAACAGGCCATGAAGATGTTCATAATCTGGCTTAAAGCTTTGTATCGCCCAATAAATCCTCTCCATTGTGACAGACAATTTGACTGCCGCGCCCATAGTAATTCGTAAAGAGCCCTCTGTTTACGAACTTCCTGGGAAATGTGTATCCAGGAGCAGTTCTACTGTTTCCAATTTTCCAATCATGTCGTGGTCCAGGAACCGTGTTGCTTCTGCAGAAGCCCGATCGGGTTCGAGGATCTCGACAATAATTTTCTTAACCACCAGTGGCGCGCTCGCTTTCTCTTGGGTCTAGGGCCAGTCTCTATTCCTAAGGTTGGTTCGAACCTGCGGTGCAGTTAGAAAAAAGTCTAGAATGGTCTCAATACATCTATGGTCCGGAAGTGAGTGTTCGTTATAAACTCTCCAGTCTTAACCGTATCAAAATTATTATCGTTACATAGCGTAAGGTCTATAACTTCCACACGGCAACCAACAAAAGTATATTCTGAACCTCTGTTATATATCATGAGATTAGTTGTTAGAGGTAGATAAAAAGACTCACCTGAACTATTGATGTTCATGATCCCCCACTATACATGGGGAGTCAGCGCCGCGTTCACCATCGCTGAGTAGCAGCTCCTTCTCGCACATCTTCAGCATCGCCAATGCGGGGTTGAATTTCTTGGAGGCACTGCTCTCAGCGTCAGATAGATCCCGCTCCGTCTCCTCAATATGCACGTCCACTAAGGCACTCGACTGGAAGCGCGCTGCGCTTCCCCGCGATAGACCTTTATGGTCACGTCGTCGAGGCCGTAGAATACTCGGCCCTGTATCTGCTCCAGGAGCTTTATCGAGACCCTGTTTACAGGCAGGACCACTTGTTTTGCCAAATCATCATTATCTTGGACCCGTAGGACCCTCCAGTCGCCCGTTGGAAGATCCGGATTCATTGTTTGCAGCATGTTAAGAACCGGCACCTACGCCCTTGCCCTAGGCCTGACTGGAACGTTTTTCGAGCCCACCACCCCCAGATTTGCTGCGGGATAGACAGCACCTTTTCGGCAGCAGCCTTGTACAGCACCCCCGGACACGCTTCATTGCAAAGCCACCAGCTTCATGTGGCCCTGGTACCAGCCGACAAGTGGGAGGGGTTCCGAGGTTCTCCAACAAGACGTCAAAAATGACGTTTGCCAGAGCCGCCTTCACCCACACCCACTGGTACCGAGGAATAGAGCCGAGTTCGTTGCTGCGGTGAAGAACCCTGATAAGGTGCTCTCACTAGCAACATTAGCAAAGCTAGGTCTAGCTGCCTCGGAGTGCNATCAGCTTTTAGCTACCCAAAATTTTAAACTACCTTTCCAACTGAAAAGATTACTAGTAAGACACCCTTCAAACCTTTTCCATGATTTAATTTGGGAACGATTGCTAAAGCTTCAGTCTAAAGTACCGAAGCCAGCTGACCAGAGAAATTTCAATTTCTGGGTCTAGGGCCAGTCTGTATTCCTAAGGTTGGTTCGAACCTGCGTTGCAGTTAGAAAAAAGGCTAGAATGGTCTCAATATATCTATGGTCCTGAAGTAAGTGTTCGTTATGAACTCTCCAGTCTTAACCGTATCAAAATAATTATCATTACATAGCGTAAGGTTTATAACTTCCACACGGCACACAACAAAAGTATATTCTGAACCTCTGTTATATATCATGAGATTAGTTGTTAGAGGTAGATAAAAAGACTCACCTGAAGTATTGATGTTCATGCTCCCCCACTATACATGGGGAGTCAGTGCCGCGTTCACCATCGCCGAGTAGCAGCTCCTTCTCGCACATATTCAGGATCGCCAATGCGGGGTTGAATTTCTTGGAGGCACTGCTTTCAGCGTCAGAGAGATCCCGCTCCGTCCCCTCGATATGCACGTCCACTAAGGCACTCGACTGGTAGCGCGCTGCGCGTCCCCGCGAGGCCGTAGAGTACTCGGCCCTGTATCTGCTCCAGGAGCTTTATCGAGACCCTGTTTACAGGCGGGACCGCTTGTTTTGCCAAATCATCATTATCTTGGACCCGTAGGACCCTCCAGTCGCCCGTTGGAAGATCCGGATTCATTGTTTGCAGTATGTTAAGAACCGGCACCTACGCCCTTGCCCTAGGCCTGGCTGGAATGTTTTTCGAGCCCACCACCCCCAGATTTGCTGCGGGATAGACAGCACCTTTTCGGCGGCAGCCTTGTACAGCACCCCCGGACTCGCATCATTGCAAGCCACCAGCTTCATGTGGCCCTGGTACCAGCCGACAAGTGGGAGGGGTTCCGAGGTTCTCCAACAAGACGTCAAAAATAACGTTTGCCAGAGCCGCCTTCACCCACCCCCACTGGTACCGAGGAATAGAGCCGAGTTCGTTGCTGCGGTGAAGAACCCTGATAAGATGCTCTCACTAGCAACATTAGCAAAGCTAGGTCTAGCTGCCTCGGAGTGCGCCTGGATTTTCTTAGGTGGATGCTGTTGTCTCTTGGTTTGGTTTCCCACCGAAACCCCAGCTGTGGTTTGGAAGTTGGGTAGCAGGGCTCCGCATTTCAACGTGAAGGGACCGCCCCTCTGCTTTATCCAGAGAGAAGCCGCCAATAGTTTCACTCGTGGTGACTCCCCCGGTGTTTTCTTTTGCGGCCACTTATTGCCTTTCCCCTCTGGAATCAGGTCGTGGGATCCCTGCCTCATTGAGCCGTGTCGGCATTTGAAGTGTACCCAGCCCCAGGGGCTACTGATTGACCTGCCGGTTCTAGCATAGTCACTGCAGCCTTGCTGTAGCTGGCCCCCAACATAAGGCCCGTTATCACAGAGCGGCGTGAGGTTGCCCCCAGGGCCGCCCTGAAAATGCCTTCCATAGAGCTTAAAGGCGCACTAGGCGCTTGCGCACCTGCGCTGCTTTCCCCGAGCTTGGGAAGACGAAAGTGGTTTTTGTTTTTTTAGTTTTAAACTTATTAGCTTGTATATTCTAAAAAACTCGGTCGTTGTAGTCACTATGGGATCCCCTGGGTATCTGTGAAACAGCGAGGCCATGCCGTGAGTCAGTGACAGATCCAGTGAAAAATATTGGAGGGCGCCTTAACCGTTAAGCTGTATTTACATGAGGCTGTTTTCTAGGCGATTCAACATTGTTCACCAAAAATCCCTCGTGTAAATTGTGATTCAAATATCGTCTCAAAATAGACAGCTGGTCAACTTTTGTAGGCGATTATCGCCTGTCAAAAAATTGCCTAATGTATAAAGGCAATATTACATACAGACACCAACTTATCGGCGAAGAGATCGGAACGTAATTGGAGGCCTGCTAGACTTTTAATGTGACGTAGGCGGTCACGGCATTAACCTGAAAGTCATACTCAGGCAACAGAATACCGCAACCACCAGCTCAAGACAAACAGATACAAAATGTTTTGGAATTCGGGCAGTCCGTGGACGACTGCAGGGTCAAGCCGGGGAAGATGTTTCACCTTCCTTTATCTGTTCCCCATCGACAGGTTGAGGTTCACAGTGCCACCAACGTGAATGAAAAGGAGGAGATTGATAGCAAGGTGGAAAGGCATCACATCCAAAGACCGGCTGTCGCCAGAGTTGTTAAGTATTTGAAATACAAATATAAAAGACAAAATACGTATTTG